CCCCAAAACCCCAAAACCCCAAAACCCCAAAACCCCTGAAAAATAATTTTAAATTGATTTCTATAATATTTGAATATGTCTCAAACTCGAGGGCACTTTGAATCATTTCAGTCTAACTTCGCCACCTCTGATGGGGTCTCTGGTAGGAGTAAGAGGAACTACACTCCTGTCAATGTTTACCAAGATCAAGACCGGATCTATACTGCACAGGCTCCTCAAGCCATGTACAAGAGAGATATGAATTTTAATCCTAATCAGGATCAATACGACCAAAATAGTGATAGATATTACGATGACCCTGACCAAGAAGCTCAGTACATTTATGAGCAAACTCCTCATATGCATCCTCGAGAGAGGAGGTATAATCAAGCAAGAGTGTACAACCAAGCATCTCCAAATATGCATAACCCTCATTCAATGGATCAGCAGATGATGAATCAGCAATATCGGACCAATCCTGATTTTCCCCACCAACAAGAGAGCCACTCTCGATCAAGAAAACTATATACTATGAACAGAGGGGGTTCAAAGTATGTGCATACACCTGAATATAATGATATTGATGAACAGGAGGCCCAGCTTTTTACCAGTTTATCCCAAGCCGAGCTAAAAGATCATGTGATCCAGAACATTAACTCTGATGATTACGACCAACAAGATCAGTCTGAAATGATCATACAGCAGTTGCACAAAAAGCTGGGGAAGTTATCAAGGCAATACTTAAAGCTTATAGGAGTCATCAAGAAGAGTGATTACATTAGAGGCTCCAACACTACAGTGAGTTATGCACAGCTTAAAGAACTTGAAAATATTGGTGATCGGCTTGATTCGAACAGCCAGGCGGATACCTCCAGAGATAATGATATTTTTAAAGCTATCGGCGATACTATCAAAGAGATCGAAGATCATCTGAATCATCATGGCAACTCCTACTCCTGAAATGATATCATTAAATATATCAAACAAAAACTTAATGAGGTATATATTAGTGAGTCTGTTAACAAAAGCCATTTCCACAGAGGACCTTCTTCAGAGAATTACAAAGACTCTGAAGACTTTGATGGTATAAAGGGCCGATTAGATTTCGAAAATGCTATTAAAGATCTTACTAAATAACTATGAGTGGCTTAAGAAAAAGTCCATTAAATCCCTTTCAGGCATAGAAGAAAAATACTCCCAAATCCAAATAGACATTGATGAGCTTGATAAAACAATGGTGAATTATTCATCCCAAAGTAGGACTGCTAGCAGGGACGAGATGAGCGACCTCCCAGCTCTTCTACAAGATGCCTGTGACTTGGTCACCCACACCAATGAATCAGTCAATGTGCACCTCGAGAATTCTCTCAATGAAGTTGGATACTTAAGAGAAGCTATTGACCAATACCACGACATTATTGAAGAGAAAATGAGAGAACTCTATAAACCTGACCTTAAGATCCAAGGTGACCGGCCCACAGACATTAAGCTCCATGAAGAATTAATGAAAGTTAAATCAGATGCCAAAACATCAGAAAGACATCACAAAAAGTTGTTCAATGAAGTTGAACAAAATATGAAATTGCTACAGAAACTCATGAGTCCAAATACTGGGCCTGACTCAAAGGCAGAGATCAAAGAACTTTACAGCAAATCTAACAGAGATCTCAAAGATTTAATCAAGAAGCAGCAGAAGTTATTCAAAAAGAAATCTCATGCTAAATCATCGAATAAGAATAGCATGAGCAGGCTACTGAGATCCTCCTCCAAAGAGATAAGAGCTCAGAAGAAGATCGTAAGCCAGAGCTCAGCTCCAAATGAAGGGTTGCTACAAGAGATTTCCACATTAAAGTCCCAACTTACCAACCTCAAGCTTGAAAATGAGATCAAGGACAGTAAAATCCAGGATAGTGAGAACCTCAAAACTAGAATTTCACTCCTCAAATCTGAATATGAAGAAACTAAGAAGTCTAACTTTGACCTAGAAACAGAGGTTGAGAACAAGACCAGCCAGATCTCTTCATTAGAGCGGGAGAATCTAAAGATGACCAATAGAATCAAGAATCTTCAGTCTGAACTCCAAGACCTTGAAAATATTCTTACTCAGAACAAAGACACTGAGTTCGAATCTGTAAGAGAGATGAGGAACATCATCAGTCAGGCGAAGAGGTCATGAAAAGAGCAAATCCTATCTCAGGAGAAAGAGCTTGGTGATAAATTTGACCACCTTAATAGCCTCCTATCAACAAAAAATACTAAAATTATGTCTCTTGAGTCAATCATCACAGATCTGAGGATGAACCAGCTACCAAAGCTCAAAATCTCAGACCAAAGTCTACACCTCAAGGACTCAGAAATTAATAGACTCAAGGCCGATGTAAACCGTACTACCGAAGCACTAGAGAAGCTCAAGATCGACAAAACTTCTCTTGAGGGCAAATTGCACAAGGCCCAGAGAAGAATCCAAGAAATATTGGGAGAAAAGGAAGACGCTCAAAGACAAGCTGAGGACAAAGAGAACCTCACCAATTCCCTGTACGAAGAGAGACTCAGAGATAAAGACAAGGAAATCCACGCTAAAAATAAGCAAGTAACTCAAAAGGAATCAGAGATTATTCAGCTTAAGGAAGAAGCCATTGCTCTGGAGGACCGAATTAACAATATTGAAGCCAAAGTCAACAGCGCTCATAGCTTAGTAGAGACTTATGGGGATCAAATAGCTCGTAAAAATGGTAAGCCAAATCCTACGATCCAATTGATACTTGAAACAATTGAAGAAGTTTCCAAAGAAAAGGCATCATCAAACAACTCAGAGAACCAGAGGCTCATCCAGATGCAAGAACTACTGCGAGAAAAGGAGGTTCTATCAGAGAAGATTTCCAAATTAGAAAGTGACCTCCATAAAGCCAATGCTTCTGTTCATAGACTTGAGCAAGAAAATTATACTTTAACTGCAAATCTAGAAGATGAACAGTTGAAATTACAAGATGAACTCAACTCTAAAGAGACTTTAGTCCAAAAACATCAAAGATCTATCCAGAACAAGGAAACAGAGCTTGCTCTCTGGAAGGATAAATTTGACAAATCAAATACGTCCTCAAGTCAGCACTCAAACTCAGCTATGGAGAAGCAAAGAATCCTTGAAAAATATGTCCAATTGGTGGATAATATCTGAAACTACTTCTCATTTACCAACACCATCAACCAAAAAGAAGAGGAATCAAAGGAACCCCTCCTTGAAGGCTTATTTGTGCACCTAGACAGCCAGAAAAGGGAGACTGAGAAGACTATCAAGAACCTCAAAGATCAAATCAAGGAGAATTCCGTGAGCATGGTAGACAGATCTGAAGTAGAGACAGCGACAAAACAGCACAATGAGCTCCAGCTTCAGATCCAAGCAAAAGAAGATGAAATAGACAATCTTCAAGGAATCATAAATACTCTTAAAGAAGAGAACTCTAATAAAGTCAATGAGTCTGTGGTCATCCCTCTCAGGTAAGAAATAAATTCAAAAATGGACCATATCTCTTTATTCTCAGCAATATGTTCATCATAATGCATGCATTAAGGCTTATACAACAAAGAAAAGATTTCTGGCAAATCTTGCTTGATGATCCTTTGAAAGAGATTGACTAGGACCAAAAATATTTGTAAAATCCCCCAACAGATACATCTTTAACATTTTGCTTGCTTTACTATCCTTTACACATATTTACTACCTTTCTTAATACGATTTCAAGCCAAAATATGGCGAAAATCTAATAATGGATATAGGGAGACAATCACAAATTTCCAAAACGAACTCGCTGAAAAAGACAAAGTTATCGCCAGCAACGCACAAAATATGGAATTGATGAGATCCAGCACGATCAAACTTAAGGAAGGCCTGCAAGATTATGAGACCAAGCTTACTAAGATCATCACCGAGAGAGAAGAGGCTAAGGCTGAACAGAAGAAGGCTCAGTTCGAGCTCTCTAGAGTTACCCAAGAACTTAACGATGTTGATGACGAGTTAACGAAAGTTAAATCAGAATTATCCAAGGCTAACTCTGAGTTATCTGAGACTAAGCCTGGTTTCACACAAGTCAATGAGGAGCTCTCTGAGACTAAGCAGAAATTGGAACAAGCCAATAGCCAATTATCACAAGCTAAATCAGAGTTTGAAGTATCAGCAAAGAGCCTTGAGAAGATTAAGACTGAATTACAACAGAAAGATCTTCAACTAGCACAAACTCAGGCTGATCTTAAAGATTCTCATGATGAAGCTACCATGCTTAAGTCTAAATTAGAGAAAGCCCAGGACACAGCAGATGTGGATTACGAAGCTGAGATAGAATCTTCCAAAGTATCATTACTGAACACCATAAATTCCCATCTTACTGTAACAGGGAAGACAAGCGAGCTCGAGTCTAAAATTAGCGACCCCACTAGTTCAGATGTATTTAAAATAGTCATCGAGAAGATACAGCAGAAAGACCCTAACATTGCTGCAAAGCATGACCAAATTCTTCAATCTCAAATTGAGGCTAATATAGGAGAAGGAAAGCCTGAGATGCTCCCTAGCCTTCAGACTCAACTACAGATCCTCAAAAATGAGAGTGAAAACACTGAAGTTACAAGGGATATGTCTGAGCATCTCCTTGAAAATTTTGAGAGAAATGACAAAGCCATTAGAGATAAACTTGAGAAGGCAGTCGAGAAGATAAAGTTTTATAAGCAGAAAATAAAAGAATATAAAGTTAAACTCTCTGACTTATGCAGACCCGGGTTAGCCTCATACAAAAATCCCTCAGATTCCAAAATGACTGCAGAAGAACGGGTCCAGCTCATCGCTGACATTAAGAAGCAAATCCGTGAAGAAGAGATCAAAAAGCGTGATAAAGAAATTGAACGCCAACGGAAAGTAATGGCTCAGAAATCAGAAGAGCAATCTATTGAGTTCAACCAAAGAATGGAAGAACTTGAGGCGAAACTCGAAGCCAAGGATAATGAAAACACAGATTTGTTGATCAAGATTCAAGAGAACGAGACTGAAATCGAGCAACTCAAACAAGCTAAGGAACGTAAATCAGTCATGTCTTATGATGAGCAACTTGATCAGCTCACTGATGACCCTCCTGCTCCATCTAATCCCACTAAGTATGAGACACAGCTCATTGTCTTTGAAAGAGTCGAGAAGCTCAATGAGAAAATTATAGAATTTGGTGAGAAAATTGGCCAATACCGACATGAAATGCTTACTAAGCTTGAAGAAGAAAATCAGGAGGTTAATAATAACAACGAAGATGATCCAGCTAAGAAAATAGAAGAAATCAAGGCTAAAGAAATCTCCAAACTTGAAAGAATTACCAAGAGAAGAGCTGTTGTTCAAGTAGTAAGAAAGCTTGAGGCCGAAGGCCTCAGCTGGTTACTACTGGAACAGAAGGATCACTATGATAAACCTTTGGAGCTTAAGTCCTCCAATAGTCATAGCAAATCATCTATATTAGGATCACAAGGAAGTAGAAAGTTGTGGTGGGTCTGCGAGGAATACCTTCCACAAGACTTATTAGACTATGTCTTCTCATGTACTCCTTCGTTCCTGTTCAAATCAGCATCTTTGAAGCTGAACCTTCCTGATCTGTTCTCAGAATCTGAGAAGGAGAGCGTAAAGTTACTCAGAGAGACTAGTAAAGACCTTATTGCTAAGAGAGAAGAGTTACTCAAAGATCAAAGAGAAATCATGCTCGGACTCAGAAGGGAGAATTTCTTATTATAGAAGACACTCTAACTGCAGAAACAGAAGATCGTCTGAGAGAGCTTGAAAACAAGAATTTAGAATTCGAGCAAGAGATCCAATCTCTACATGAAGAAAATGTTGCCTTCAACTCTAAAAACACAGAACTTCTGTGCTACATCAATGTGTTAAACATCAGAATAAAAGAGCTCAATGGGTTGATATATGACTTCTCCAGAGACAAAACAAATGAAGAAATCCTGAATAGAAATGCAGCTCTGATTGCCAAAATAGACAAAATCAAACAAGAAAATATGGAGACAGAGGTCGAGCTTGAAAAACTCAAAACTGCTATCGAGCGGAGAAAGATTAGGCTTAGTCGCCCAAGTAAATTGGATGCCAAAAAGGAGTTTGAGGGCAGGCAATCTCAAGAATCCTTCCATTTCGATGCAGATAATGACATCTTCTCTGACTCCTTCATCATCGACTCTAATAACAAAGAACTTGAAGATAAATGCAAGCAAATTGAAGAAGAACTCAACGCAGCTAATGACCTCATTACTCAGAAGAACAAGCAAATAGTCGAGCTTGAAGGTGTCGTTGAGAAGCTCGAAAGTGACATCGAGAATAAGAAGAAGAGTGAGTCATTCGAAGTCATGAACAGTGACAGCTTAAAGCATATCAAAGGTACCCTAATCCAGTTTCTTCGTAATGTCCCATTCACTGAAAAGAACAATGAGATTCTCTTAAATGTCGTATTTGACATGCTGTACATGACCAGTAAGGAAATCAAGGACATTAAGGAAGCGAGGAACAAGCTACAGAAGAGTGATACTCCCAAGAAGAAGAAAGGATCAGGCCTTTTCTCTAGATTAATCAAATAAGCCAAGTTTCAGTAACAAAAAACTCCCTTGGGGTTTTGGGGTTTTGGGGTTTTGGGGTTTTGGGGTTTTGGGGTTTTGGGG